GACACTGATGATTTTAGCCAAGCCTTTAAAGTGGAGTAGGTTACCCCATGTTTAGCTTTCCGTGATCATGCAACATTTTATTAATACTTCGTTTAAGCAAGGTGTTGATAAACTATATTGTCCACACAATACAGTGACCTGCATCAACAAGGGAACCTCTAATACACTGAAACATTATATGAGCACAATTATCCAGTTAATGGCAGTTTACAAGTAATTCAATCTGGCGAGTTGTGGGTAACGTAACGACCAAAACCGGCAAATTGTGAAGCCCAAGTGGTCAGGTTCCCATATGAAGATAAGTCTTCAGTGTTGGCACTACCGCCCACACCACCTCAACCAACAGTACGGTATTGCCCGTCTTCCCGGACCCTGCGCCAAAACATTCATAATGATTTAATCCACATGATATAACTGACCCTGACATTTCTTATCAGGTACTTGCCTTATGCCAAGACTAGGCTATTAAAGTCAATTGCCAATATCATCTTCACTAAGAAATTTATACTTGCATGGCAACTTTTGTACAATTTTTTTGTACAAGTCCATTTTCAGCTTGACAACAATCATAAGTAAATTAAAATTGGCTCTGTCAACGTAGCGAATAAATTGTATGTGATAAATGCAGCCAAATTCTTATATGGATTTATGTCAATTAAAAACAAATAAGCTTGAAAACCTGTACACCACTATGAAGGTCGAGAGGCAGACACAATGAGGTGAACATCTAGTACAACTAGACGAGTAAAACCAAGACGCCAACCACCTCATATCAGAAACCAGCTTTCATACCATGCAGACTCCACACCACCACAACGCCTATTGGCACATACGAGGTAGCTTCTATTTACACCCAACCAATAATTTGGCGATCCAACATTTATCATATTGCCCGGCAATATCTCAACGCCAATCTATTTCCAAACCAGGAATTAGGTTCAGAAAATACCTTGGTATGATCTGAACCATAGGCATACTAAATTCATAGCATATCTTGTGCCATGCTTTTACAAATTTACATACTTTAGTCATGTCCTTCACTCTTAGGGTTTTTAGCAGTAATTCAAGCTATTTGTAAGGCCTATCCACCTGGATTGGTCGGGAAAGCGACGGTAACCTTTTCTTCAAAGCTGTGAAAACCAAACTATCCACAACTTTAAGGCAAGATTAGAAAAGAATTTGAACGTCAGAATAGTTAAATTGAAACTATTCAATTATTGCCCTCGTCTACTAGCCTTGCACGCAACACGTGCAAGGCTAGTAGACGAGGCATTAAAAAGCTATATCTCACTTCCCCGTAGACACTGATTGACAAATACAGGGACGGCCTCCCTCCTTTCAGGGTCTACGTTCGATCACCGATGATCCAGATAATTGGGCTCTGTGCCTTCCTTTAACCAAGATATGTACAATATATACTTTCTCGACGACACTAAACTAGAAATCAAAGTTACAACACCAATACAGCGACCGATTTCAAGCTGATAAATGTAAAGTAGTACCTTAGAAACAAATTTAAAAGGAATGCTACTGGATGAGCAGTCTGTTAAAGTAAATTAAGAGATCTGGGTGTGATAAAAGCTAATGACCCAAGACAAGCTACCTCCCATGTTTAGGTCTGAATCCCTCAAAATCTGATTTTCCGAAATATGGCATTTCCATGCTCTAGCATCTATCTATTACCCGTCTATTACATGCTACGTTAAATTTTAATTTCCTTGTGATCACTGTTCCCTAGCTCGCTCCCTATTTCGATGTTATTCAATCGTATCTTTCTGTTAGATACCAGTCTAAAATATCTTCCTTTGTTGGCAATCTACTAGTTAAAAGAAAATTGGCTTCGGCGTTTCATTAGTTCAACTTATTTTACTGAAATTAAAGCCTCCAATAACATTGGTTATAAACTATAGCTAGTTCATCCCATATATGCTTTGTTTCCATGTAGAAGTTTGGTAGTATAATTTATTCAATTCATATAATTTGGTAGTATAATCCATTGTCGGGGACTGGCAACCTGTGCTTCCTCCTAGGCACCCCCCCCCCTCAAGGTCGAACTACTGACCCGCTCCAGAATGCAACCTCACAACAGTTATAACTCTCGGGTACCTATTTACTACTAGGTGTCGAGGCATTAGATTGTAGGATAGATTGATTGATAAAGATTAAGCCACCCAAGAGGTGGCACGGGCATGAATAGCCCGTAAGTGGTGGCCCTTTTGAGCCATTACCAGTATCAAGAGCTGATACTGGAGATCTGTGGAGGTGTGACTGCACCCTGCGTGACGGGAGATGTCTCCCGTCAGGTTGTAGGAAATGTACCCAGCTATTTATATCCCACCTGGGATTCGAACCCGGAATTGCAAACCGGGTCGAGCGAACCCAAATGAACTACCGAAACCCCTACAACCTTTGAAGTGTTCCCCCGCATACACTGCTACTTCCCCTCCCCTGACCTGCCTAATTTTGTATCCGAAATACTCAGAAGCCTTTCATCCGATATTCCGCTAATACTTCCCGGGTTTCTACATTTATCTAGCATTCAGCAGTTGTGTTCAGAACGCCAGGAAGAGGGTGGGGGGCCAAGAGTGCCACGAAGGGGAGAGCCAAGAGTGCCACGAAGGGGAGAGCCAAGAGTGCCACGAAGGGGAGAGCCAAGAGTGCCACGAAGGGGAGAGCCAAGAGTGCCACGAAGGGGAGAGCCAAGAGTGCCACGAAGGGGAGAGCCAAGAGTGCCACGAAGGGGGTGGGGGCCGAGAGTGCCACGAAGGGGGTGGGAGCCGAGAGTGCCACGAAGGGGGTGGGAGCCGAGAGTGCCACGAAGGGGGTGGGAGCCGAGAGTGCCACGAAGGGGGTGGGAGCCGAGAGTGCCACGAAGGGGGTGGGAGCCGAGAGTGCCACGAAGGGGGTGGGAGCCGAGAGTGCCACGAAGGGGGTGGGAGCCGAGAGTGCCACGAAGGGGGTGGGAGCCGAGAGTGCCACGAAGGGGGTGGGAGCCGAGAGTGCCACGAAGGGGGTGGGAGCCGAGAGTGCCACGAAGGGGGTGGGAGCCGAGAGTGCCACGAAGGGGGTGGGAGCCGAGAGTGCCACGAAGGGGGTGGGAGCCGAGAGTGCCACGAAGGGGGTGGGAGCCGAGAGTGCCACGAAGGGGGTGGGAGCCGAGAGTGCCACGAAGGGGGTGGGAGCCGAGAGTGCCACGAAGGGGGTGGGAGCCGAGAGTGCCACGAAGGGGGTGGGAGCCGAGAGTGCCACGAAGGGGGTGGGGGCCGAGAGTGCCACGAAGGGGGTGGGGGCCGAGAGTGCCACAAAGGGGGTGGGGGCCGAGAGTGCCACAAAGGGGGTGGGGGCCGAGAGTGCCACAAAGGGGGTGGGGGCCGAGAGTGCCACAAAGGGGGTGGGGGCCGAGAGTGCCACAAAGGGGGTGGGGGCCGAGAGTGCCACAAAGGGGGTGGGGGCCGAGAGTGCCACAAAGGGGGTGGGGGCCGAGAGTGCCACAAAGGGGGTGGGGGCCGAGAGTGCCACAAAGGGGGTGGGGGCCGAGAGTGCCACAAAGGGGGTGGGGGCCGAGAGTGCCACAAAGGGGGTGGGGGCCGAGAGTGCCACAAAGGGGGTGGGGGCCGAGAGTGCCACAAAGGGGGTGGGGGCCGAGAGTGCCACAAAGGGGGTGGGGGCCGAGAGTGCCACAAAGGGGGTGGGGGCCGAGAGTGCCACAAAGGGGGTGGGGGCCGAGAGTGCCACAAAGGGGGTGGGGGCCGAGAGTGCCACAAAGGGGGTGGGGGCCGAGAGTGCCACAAAGGGGGTGGGGGCCGAGAGTGCCACAAAGGGGGTGGGGGCCGAGAGTGCCACAAAGGGGGTGGGGGCCGAGAGTGCCACAAAGGGGGTGGGGGCCGAGAGTGCCACAAAGGGGGTGGGGGCCGAGAGTGCCACAAAGGGGGTGGGGGCCGAGAGTGCCACAAAGGGGGTGGGGGCCGAGAGTGCCACAAAGGGGGTGGGGGCCGAGAGTGCCACAAAGGGGGTGGGGGCCGAGAGTGCCACAAAGGGGGTGGGGGCCGAGAGTGCCACAAAGGGGGTGGGGGCCGAGAGTGCCACAAAGGGGGTGGGGGCCGAGAGTGCCACAAAGGGGGTGGGGGCCGAGAGTGCCACAAAGGGGGTGGGGGCCGAGAGTGCCACAAAGGGGGTGGGGGCCGAGAGTGCCACAAAGGGGGTGGGGGCCGAGAGTGCCACAAAGGGGGTGGGGGCCGAGAGTGCCACAAAGGGGGTGGGGGCCGAGAGTGCCACAAAGGGGGTGGGGGCCGAGAGTGCCACAAAGGGGGTGGGGGCCGAGAGTGCCACAAAGGGGGTGGGGGCCGAGAGTGCCACAAAGGGGGTGGGGGCCGAGAGTGCCACAAAGGGGGTGGGGGCCGAGAGTGCCACAAAGGGGGTGGGGGCCGAGAGTGCCACAAAGGGGGTGGGGGCCGAGAGTGCCACAAAGGGGGTGGGGGCCGAGAGTGCCACAAAGGGGGTGGGGGCCGAGAGTGCCAGAAGGGGGTCCAAGTGCCAGACGGGGGGGCCAAGTGCCAGACGGAGGGGGCTAAGAGTGCCAGGGGGGAGGCCGAGTGCCTGTGAGTACGGGAATGAGCTCGTGCGTGCGTGCGTGAGCGCTGCGGGAGGGAGGGAGGGAGGGCGGGCCAGGAGCGGCCGGGTGCTGGAGAAGACGACACCACCGCCGCCCGCCACTTCCATAAATGGCTCTCCTCCAAGTCACTTCCTTATTTCATCATACTTCCCTATACACTCCCCCTACACACTTTCACTCTACCTTAAAACATCATTCTTAATGTTGACAAGCCACGTATCTAAATCACTTAAATGTTCGTTCTGGTAGAATTGGGCAAGTCGCATTGTAGCGCCAGAGACCTAAACGCGGCCACCTATACACAATACTCCCACATTGATCAACATTTATTTAATAAAAAAAACATTAATAAATGTATTTGCACATTTACAATTATTGATAGGCTTACCTTTTGAATACAGAGAGGTGTCGCGAAATCTTTGCCACCCTGCAGCCTGAAGCCCCAGGGAGTACCCTCGGCTTTGGATAGCTTAATTGTCATAACCGACATGGCTACTGTATAAAGGTTGCACGGTCGAACAAGAAGAAAAGGCGAATTAACTAGCGCCTTCTACACAGGGCCTCTCACAAGACAACACGACACTACTAAGCCCCGCCTGCCTGCCCCACCCGCTAGATCTGAAGCGAGCAGACGACTGACACATTCACGGATTGAAGTCCCGCCAATTGGTGAACTCAAATGAGAACTTATTGCTCTATGTTAAATTACCTGATAATATATTACTTTTATTTAATTAAGAGGAATGTTTAATCTTGTTGCCACATGTCATTTTCTATACGAAACCTTTACAAAGTAACATTAATTGTATACTCATATGACTTAAATAGATGAGAATCAGTAAACACAAATATACTCACTGGCAATTGTGAAAACTAGAAACAAAAAAGTAAATTAATATTTCTTACGTACATAAAAATATTATATAATGTTATTATAATTTAACATTGATTAAAATGACAAAATTATAGTACATTTTCTTTAAAATTCCCTTTGTGTGCTGAGCATTTTATCTCACGGAATGTCATACTTTAGTCTAGCTAAGCCAATCAGCTTTCGAGGCACCAAGCTCGACCAATGAAATGCCTTCCCGCAAATTTTGTTGTGGAATCATCTGAAAACGCGCGAAAACATGCAGATAGGCCACCCTTGACGTCAGAGGCGGACTGAAGAGGTCTTGTATTCGACAATATTACCTTTGTTTGTTGTTTACCAGCGAAGACACATCAAGATGTTTGAGGCTCGTCTCGTCCAAGGCAACCTATTGAAGAAAGTGCTGGATGCCATCAAGGAACTGCTGAATGAGGCGTCATGGGACTGTGCCGACTCTGGTATCCAACTCCAGGCTATGGACAACTCTCACGTGTCCCTCGTGTCTGTCAACCTTAGGGCAGAGGGCTTCGACAAATACAGATGCGACAGAAACCTTATAATGGGCATGGATCTTACCAGGTAACTGTGTACAAACGTTGTGTTGACAAATAAAAACTCTGGGCATGGCAGTGATGAGGATCATAGAGTAATATTGTCTGGAAGACTTTGCAATAGTAACCAATATGGTCTTTATAGTTAAACCCTAATTTAAAGAATATTGACGTAGAACTTATCAATTTTGGGGAAGTGGAGATATACAGGTTGCTTGGTACAAGAGTTCATCAACACATTTGAAAGCAATATAATTACCTATTCTAACCAAGATAAACTAAAGGAATTTATTATATGCAGGTTTAAAATTCACGCTTGAATTATTTTTCCTTACCCCTGTGGGGCATATAAAAAATTGTATTTAAGTCGATGTAACCATAACGCAGCTTAATGATACTTTATTATAAAATGTGCTTTGTTAGAACTCCAGTATACGCACTTCTACAAGGTTCGTATCCTAAGTGTAAAAACCATGTATATCGTTAGGTTAGGTTAAGGTAAATTTAATATCCTTAAACTCTTGGATATGTTAGTTCAGTCCAAACCGAACTGTTCGGTTCGGTCTTGGATATATCATATGACATACATCCAACTGTTTACTGTCTTGTGTGCAAAATGACCTGTATCTACGAGGGCTAAAGGACAGACGGCAATTGGGGGTTTGCCTACTTGCTTTTAGTCTTGCTTTGAGCCTTGTGGAATTTGTTACTTTGAAGCTTACAGTATGTATTTGTAAAGTTTGTGTTTAATGGAGCTGTGATGTGCATAGATCAAATCTCAACCCTGCTAGGTAATAAATTCACTTCTCTATTCACCCAACCACTTGGGCTAAACAGTAGAGACGATCTTGCTTCATGCTGGTTTGGGTTCAATCCCCGACTGTCCAAGTAGTTGGGCACCATTCCTATCCCCCGTCCCTTCCCAAATCCTTATCCCTTCCAAGTGCTATATAGGCTTGGCACTTTATACTGATGCCATCAAGGAGAGTTCCCTTTTTTATTCATAGGGCTGGAAAATAACCAATATCATAAATCTACCCTAATTTTGGCCCAGGTGGTAAGTGCTCCTGGCAGTCCAGTACAAATTTTTTCATTGTAATTATAATTTGACATCTGCATGCATAAATACAAATACCAAAATATAGTACAGATCTTTGATGACCCGGTAGTGCAGTTGTCAAGTGTAGTTTAGAGACCTAGAAACTGATGTTTATTACTCGTTCTTTGTGTGGGGGAGGCTGAATATATTAAAATAGCATTTATTCATTTATGTGCCTCATGCCCATCCCATGGGTAGTGGTGAAAAGGGTTACTGGGACATGTAATGGGCACAGGAACTGATCCCCACAGTTCGTTTATCTAATCAAGTAACACTTAAGAAGCTAGGTGCACAAATTAATTTTACATACGCACACACAGCAGTTCCCCAGTGGGCAATACTGTATTGTGCACTCGTACTGTAATATCGGCTGAAAAGTAAATGTGATTGACTAGGAATATTAATTACTTGGGGTTCATGTGGGTTTTATTAAATTAATTTTATTTACATTTCAGTATGTCCAAAATTTTGAAGTGTGCTGCCAATGACGACATCATAACCATGAAGGCACAGGATAATGCTGATACTGTTACCTTCATATTTGAGTCTCCCAGCCAGGAAAAGGTGTCGGACTATGAAATGAAACTAATGAATCTAGACCAAGACCACTTGGGCATTCCAGTGAGTGATTTTTGTTTATAGAATTTTATTTACATAATTGAAATGCTTATAAGCAATTGTGCTGATTTTATTTGCAGAGGTAGGAATTTGTAAATAATATAGCTCAGCTGACAAAATCTGCTTTAATGTAGTTTTGTAAAAAACATATTCTCCCTTGTTTTGAGAGGGGGAGATTTTATTCAAATTTTTTTTAGATTTCTATTTGAATTACCTTTCTTGACTTGTTCCCACATCTTCAAAATAATGGTTATCTACTCATGGCATTTGGTGTAACACAAGCACTTCCTGTTTGTATGTGCCATTAGCTGGGTTATTCCTCATAGTTGACCAGGAACTGCCTGGCCAGCTTGGGTCAGATGGTGATACCTGTACTTAGCATTGGAGACCTGTCTGTAGGAGAGATGGTGCTCCTTGTCAGAGTAGTGAAAGTTGTCACACATTTGTCTTTGGTGGTACATAGACAGGTGAAGGCTTTGGCATTTGTTGCTGTTGAATTTAATCCTTCCTCTTTGGAACTAGGGTTTAATTAAGGTGTGCATTGTGAATACAATACTTGGTCTAGTAGTACTACTCTGCCCTCTTGGGCTCTACATTTTTTGTTGGTTGCGATCTAAGTTTGTCTACATCTGGAATAGTGACCGTGAACCTCGCCAATAGTGTGAGCACTGAATCTCCATGGTGGGGTGAGTTGTCTACAAAAGCTATTCTACATTAACAACCGTGCTGTGCCAACAGAGAAACCTCGTTCTGAGAGTTGTAATATTTTTTTTTAATTAGGCTATATTTTAATATTTTCATCACTGTTTTGAAATGAAAATGGTTGTTTGGAAACATTTTGACATTAACTTTACCTGAACATTTATAAAAACAAAAATGTCCTTAATAATTGCACTATGAAGTTTTTGCCAAAAACAGGTGTGCAGTGCAGGGGTTGGTCATTTTTTAATGCTGATACTGTATATGCTATGTTGTGAATAATTTGATGCAAAGTAGTCCTACCATTTTGATTTTGCTGGAACAAATCTGGATCACTCGCTACCAGACCATGGACCAGAGTTTGATTTCATATTCAGAATAGGCTCACTTTCCTTGACCTGTGGTACTCAAGCAGGCTTTAATTAGAACCTGGTTGAGCCCATTTGCTTTAATTGCTTAACATCCTGGAGTATATTCAGTGATAATTGGCTTTTGTCTTCAGATAAGGAAATTATTCCTATGATGTATCTTTCCTTTTGATACTTAGCACTCGTCTGCTTCCTCGCAGGCCTGTTGTAGGCTCGTATGTTCTAGAGCCTTCTTATAGCGGGTTGAAATTTAGGACATAATCTCGGCCTGCCTTGTTACTGAGGGGTCTCCTTTTTTGTTAAATATTTTTAGTAGAACGTACCTTTATACAAAGAAAGCGTTCCTTGTCTGACTAAAGTATGCTACTCTTCTTAAGCTGATTTCTGGTTCTTGTTTGTTGTGAATGCCAAACATTGCATTGCTGTCAGGTTAGCTGGTGTAAGCTGAGGCTTTGACTTGGAAAAGGGCATTTTGTTTCATTTCACACTTAAATTTAGGAATAACTTACAAAAGTTTGTTAGTATTAGAAGCCATTATTAATTTGATACAATACTATGCATTTAAACACATTAGGCATTATGATTACTGTAAACTACCAGTTACATAAGATTAACTAAGAGGTGGATGTGTACCTCACATGTTAAGAGTATGCAACAGACTTACAGCCTAGTTTTTCATTTGGTAGGATACATTTACTAAAGTCTCACATAGTTATTAAATCTTAGTTCTGATATACCAGACATTTGATAAAATTGAGCCTATGTTTATCTTTATTGATTTGTCAATAACTTGCAAACAGTTTTGTTGCAGCATTTATTAATTAATAATATTGTAATCTTTGCAGGAAACGGATTATGCCTGTGTAATAAAGCTTCCCTCTGGAGAATTCGCTCGTATCTGCAGAGATCTTAGTAACTTTGGTGAAAGCATTGTAATTGCTTGTACAAAGGAAGGTGTTAAATTCTCTGCTGCTGGTGACATTGGTACTGGAAATATTAAGGTAGGGTTTTGTGGTTTATAGTTTGATCAAACTTAATTACAGTACAGTGTGCGCTTGCAGGTAGATGTTGGGTCATGGGTGCCATATCTTCATTTTTTTATATTTGGGGCAAAATCTCTGTACTCTTAAAAGTTATGCTGGGTTTATTGAAAATGGTACCTCAATAATTGGGGAAAGCTTTTGCTATCTTAACTATTAACTGAAGTTTGGTACATAATACAGTGTTATCATGGCACACACTATTCTAGAAGAAAAAAGTTTTGTAGTTGCCCGTTTGCTTGGCACTTGACTGTACAGATGTTAAAACACAGCAGCTGGGGAATTTTCTTTCGAGGGGGAGAAGGGAGGATGTCCTTAGCTGGCAAACTGTTATAAACTTTTAAAGTGCAGGCAAAATCTTCACTGCGGAGCAGTAACATCTCTTCCACATGTACCATCAACTCTTAAGTAAAATGATGATAAATTTGCATTTATTTCACTTATGTTTAGGTTTTCTGTGATTTTTCTCACCACAGTATTTTAGTTTTATCCTAACACGTATTGATGTCAGGTGGTGGTGTTCATTGTGTATAACTGAATATGCCTATATATAGACATGTGCATAAATATATGCACATGATGTATTTATTCCTACTAATTTGTATGTATAAGCCTAAAGCTTATAATTGCACATAGCACTCATTTTTTTATTTTCTGTAAATATATATGTTAATCACTCATTTCCTTGTTAAAAGTTCAATGGTTCCTAGCATGGCTGTCGTGCACATCCTGACACTGGATAGTGATGTGCCAGAAATAATCCTCATCTATTTACTAAGAGCTTAAAGGAAACTGGGGAAATCTGGGATTTTTATGGCTGGTGGGTGAAGACAGCAGATGGTGGGGGGGGGATATTAGTTTTTGGCTGCATCTTGACCCTTGGTGGGGACAGCTTAAAATGTCACAACCGAAAGGGATAAAATGGCATGCCGACTTCTACTCTTAGCATACAAAGAAAAGTCACTTGGTCATTAAAATATTCTGAATGGGTTTCATGAACATGTTGTTAAGGACAAGTATAACTGGAGAACCTAAACATTTGCACATTAAGAGGTATTGTTTAAAGATTAAGAAAACACATTGCAATATCTTGAAGCAAGTTAATAAGCATGGGAATGTAAATAGTGATGATTGACTTTTTTCATATTCATTGGAGGCTAAGAGGGGCTGGTGAGTGAGGGAGTTTCATTTAGAATGTTTTAGTGTGGTTACAGGACAGATAACCCAGGAGGAAATAGTTGTATTGATGTGCAGAAGAATGAGGACAAATTAAAATGTAATCAATATCTGAACTGTCAGTTTCAATGACTACTAAAAAATTCTGAAACCGGTACATTAGTTAGTCAGGAGTTTTTCAGTTTCAGACATTTAAGTTTAAATGTCTGTTTCAAACATCAACATTAAGATGCAAGTTGCTACGTTTTAGGCTGAGTATTGTCCTGATTATTCTGAAAAGACATCTTTAGGTGGATGGTGCTTTAGAATAATTTTTTTTAACGTTACATCATTAGATGACAATCTTCATATTTCACTTAAATTGTTCTGGACGTGAGAAGATAATGCTGTACATTAAAAGGTTTTATTTTTATCGAAAAAATTATATTCAAAAGTGTTATTAGAGGAAGTTTTACTGCACATTGTTGAATGTTTAGCAGTGCTAACAAAACTAGTTTTATGGTATGTGATTCTTCCATACTAGCAACTTTTGTCTGGTTAAAACATATAAATATATCTCCCACTCTGTCTAGCCTCTTCTTTCCTCTTTCTAACTCCATGTGATTTATTGATATCCACCAAGCTGCTAACTTCTTGTTACTCTCCTTCTGCAACTTGGTAGCATGTCTCCCAACACAGTAGCAATACCAGTCTGCAGCCTCTAACATCACAACTCTTCCTCTCCCCAAAAACAGTTGTATAGTGCTATGCTGGGAGCCTTGTCAGCGCCTGTGTCAGCTTCTTCGGTACATTTTCAAACTAACCATTGTTATGGCTAGACATGTGCCACTTCTAGTTCTACCTCTTCCTTAGTGTGGTTATTTTCCACATAAATTTATCTACTTCCTGTGCTTATACATGCACCTTCTTTTTCACATGCCCTTGCTTTAATTTTATTACACATTACAGTTTGGGGTAACACTCTTGTATATTCAAAAGGTTTTCCTTTTGCGTTTTCTTGCATTTTGCTTTTTTTTCAGCTTGCTCAAACTGCAAATGTTGACAAGGAAGAAGATGCCGTCATTATTGAAATGCAGGAGCCAGTAACTCTAACCTTTGCCTGTCGGTATCTCAACATGTTCACAAAAGCCACCCCACTTTCACCTCAGGTATAATTTGTTATTTTGTGTACACTTTTCAATGTTGGTATACTTGATTATTGCACATTTTGTAATTGGCATTCATTGTTTTAATGCTGTTTCTATTTCTCAGGTTTCACTGTCAATGTCTCCAGATGTCCCACTAGTTGTCGAGTATTCCATTGGAGACATTGGCCTTATACAGTATTTCTTGGCGCCCAAGATTGACGACAATGACTCTTAATTCAAGACCAGAATAACTTGTGAATTTTCTTCAAATCAATAACTTGACATGTAGCATTTAGGATGTTTCCTTTATAGTTTACACAAGTTCCATTATATTAGACAGTGGTGGTATATTTTTCATTCTATTTTAATTACATATAATCCCTTTTACCTGAAACTCCTTATCGTGTCTTAAATATATAAACTTCTTATATTGGTGTATTAATTTACCCCGTTAGTCTTGGGCGATAGTGTCCTATCAAGATCTTGGTCTTGGTTGCAAATGGATGGAGCTTTGGGCATTCACACATTATATGGGTAGACTAATTTACATTATTCTAAGTAAACCAACTGACACTTGTTTACACTGACTTTGCAGGCTTTAAATTCTTTTGTATATTGTGTAATCTTTAGGAGGTCTAGTTTGAGGCGCTATTTTTTGTAATGGTGCTATGCCTGTCTTACCAAGCTTACCAAATTAAATCGTTATGGATTTGTTAAATTTTTCTAACCATGTATTGTTAGTCTGATCTTAGTTAAGTGTATTAATGTATTTCTTTATTTTAGTGTAATAGTTGCATTATATTGGCCAGCTCAAATCACGTTAATAATTGCCAGCACAATATATAAATGTTGGTGGCTAAAGAATGGTAATTTTCCAGGAAAGATATGAGAGGGCTGTCCCGATTGTAACTTGCTTCATGCAGGAAAGAATAGATGCGAGGTTTATGAAAATATTGCAGATACATGCTAATTATAACAAATTCCCAAGACTGTTGCAGATATAAGCACTACCCAATTTACTATTAGCAACTACAGTTCACTGCAATGGGGACCTATGTTCCTAGTCTCTTGTTTTTATTTCCCCATCATTCTTGCTTATATTACTTGGGCGGTAACTACTATGAATTAGTATCTTCAAGTATCTATATATTTAGACCTTGGTTATACCTAGGCTTGGCTTATTTGGAATGTCAATGATACTCTTAGTGAAATTGCTTGCAAGTGGTTATACTTAATTGGCTCGTCATAAGCCTAGACTAGCTTGACTTGTTTAAATCCGTTATGAATGTACTAATGCTAAGTGACAATGAGCCAACTGTCAAAGCCTCCATATGGTTGGTTGATATGATTTTACCAGTACCAACATATGCGAGCAGGTGCCAAAGTGAATAATCACTGATGGAGTGTGCTTGAGAGGCATTATCAGCATGCAGCTGTTGATGGGGGAGCCCCTTTTTTACAGGTGCAAACTTCTCCCCGCAAGGTGAGGAACTGAGATATTGGTCTTGTACATAGCAGTAACTACCAATATCCCACTAAAGGCAATGCCATGTCGCATGATGATCCACCAAACTTGTCCAGAATTCTTATAAATGATGGGAGATAAGCAGTCCAGGAAACGGTGCTTCAAATAAGGTTTTCTGCTTTCAAGACGGTATACGATGCACTGTAGGGCTGTTAAGTTTCCTGGTTGCCTTATTAGGGTGAGCAAGTGGCTTTTCAGTCACAAAGTCAAACTTTGCTTCCTAATGTCTGCCTTGAATGTAGTCCTATATTAGCTGTAAAGTGAAGGTAGATACACCTAGAGCTTGAAGCTTTCTAGTAATCCAGATTGCCATACTTGGTCAGAGGTACCTGCCATGTCCATTGCAACAAGACTTGATCTTGAGCTTGTACAATGACTAATGTTACTGTAGAGGATTAGCGCAGCAGACCGCCTTTACTAAGCTCATTGTTTTAACCATAGACTACCCGATGATCAAAACATCATTTGCAGAAATTGTCGCTAATTTAATCAATACTAATTGAAAGCAATGACTAGTTGACCATTGAACGGCTACCGGTAAAGTTGACAAGAAACGGGGAAGAAATGGATATATATATATATATATTATATATAATTTTTTTTTTCACAAATGGAGTAAATTAAAAAATATTGAAACAGAATATAATACAGCTGAAGATCATAGATATCGCTCTGGAAGAATAACTTCAATATGGTGTATTCCGGAGAGGAGACAAGATTAGTACAATTTCCTTCCTTTGGGACGGGCGAGTCCTTCGGCCATTGGCTGGGTGACATCGCTGCAAGCCTCAAGTGTGCATGTTTACTATTTCTGCCTGTTAGTTAAAGCTGGTAGCTCATAGACATTACCTATCATGTCTACTACACGTTTCTTTAATACACATGTAATGTATCAGACTGGAGAAATGTTACTAGAGTACCACAGGGTTCAGTTCTAGCATCAGTAATGTTCATCATCTATATGGACGAAATTCCAGAAGGAATAGAGAATTATATGAATGTTTGCCAATGATGGTAAGCTACTAAGGAAAATAAAAAACTTAGACGATTGTCAGGGCTAACAGCACTGCAAACCAAGACATGACAGTGCTGATCTCATCGAAACTGATACTGAACAGTTTGGATGTTGATCCAGACAACTTTGAAAGGTCAGATGTAACACGAACAAGAATTTCAAGCTCAACAAGCCACAATTATTGTAGGACTGAAAACTGGAGATGCCTTTTCACCCATAGGGTGAACCACTTGCATGAAATTCAACGATTTCACGAATCCATGAATGTTCACCCATGGAACCTCTTACCCGCCGAAGCCGTAAATGCTGAAATTGTTGCACTTTGAAATCCATTGGGAAAAGATGATCAGGACAACTGGGATACCTTTAACAAGCCACCGGCTTCCTGCCCTCGTCGAGTTTTAGTAGCCCTCAGGTAAAGATGATCTGGACAAAAATAAATATATGGCACAACACTTGCCAGATGGAAATCAATTAATAAATTCCGCCTAGCATTCAAGGGCGAATGACAGCTGGGTGGACAGCGCTTTGGATTCGTAGTCCTGCGGGTCCGGGTTCGATCCTTGGTGGTGGAGACAAATGGGTAAAATGTTTTTCACCCTGATTCCCCTGTTACCTAACGGTAAATAGGTACCTGGGAGTTGGACAGCTGTTACGGGCTGCTTCCCGGGGATGTGTAACAAAAAGGAAGCCTGGTCGAGGACAGGGCCGCGGGGACGCTAAGCCCCGAAATCATCTCAAGATAGCACATTTTGCGAGGTGCTTATGCTATTCTCAAACGTCAGAATCACTTAAATATACATGGTCAGTGAAATACTTCTTCGCGACTCTAGTAACACAAAATTTGGTATCTGCGGCGATTATATGGTACCCATATCTCAAAAAGCACAAACTGCAAAAGGTACAGTCATGATACTAAATAGCTACTAGGAGAGGCCTGAGGCACCAAATTTGCCAAAGTTGGAAAACGAGAAAAAAAGGAAATATGATCATTACATACAAAATAGTAATAAATTGACAAAGAGCAATTCCTGAAAACTGCAACTTCAAGAACAAGAGGGTATAGATTCAGGCTTACACCATAGCCCGTGCTACATGGACATTTCGTTCTGAGTAGCTAAATCTAAAACAACAACAATAACAGCGAGTAACTGTGAGGGGGGGGGGGACATCAGAGTGGCGAGATGTCATCAGCGGAGTCAATATTCTCTCTAAGAGTATAATAGTGTACATCCACCGCTCTAGTTTTTAATCCATTAACGTTCCAAGATAATATTCTCAATCTACTTTCACCCATGATTAATAATAAAACTACCTTTGCCCTGTCCGTCACATTCCATGAGATACGAGAGTACCTAAGAAACTTCCTTCCAACACCGTAACATTTTTTCTTTCTCCTCACTTGCACAACTACTACTAACATCGAAGGTAATATTATTCATATATATTTTCTTTGTTATTTCTGTATACCGTTTTACTTTAAACTTTCTTTCAACATTTGTCACAACAGGAGGTTGAACACCGCTAACACTACTAGAAAGTGTATTCTCCTGACTATCCTCTATCATCGTTACGTCATGCGCATCATTACTTTCTTCTACGCACGTTTCTTTCCATTTCACGTCCTGTTTTACTTTCAATTACACGTCCTGTTTCACCACCATCTTCACCCCGTCTACCTTCCATAGCCAATTTTTCCAATGCCTCAATCCTCTTATCTAGTTTTTTTAGATACTCCAAAATTTGATTACCAACCTCAGAGTTGACCATATTGTCCTGAACCTTGTCCTCACAAGGTTTCAGTTTTTCCACTGCATTACTTACTTTCCCTAGGCTCGCCTTAATTATCTCCGTTCCTTTCTCACACACATTGTTCATAGGGGCTGTCGTTGACTTCCAGCTGTTTCCTCCATGCCCCTGCTGCACAATCTTTCCTTTCTTCGAGGATACATCTATCCTTCTTGTAGGACCCGTCCTAGTCTCTCTCTTATGAGGCTTCATGGGGCATAGATAGGAACCGGCATTGTGGCTGCCTCGACAGTTGCAACAAAATGGGACGATTTTTTCACTTCTTTCAATCTTGACTGTACACTCTCGCGAGTCGTGTTTTTTACCACAATACCGACACCTGGGGTCAAACAGGCATTTCCATGCCATATGTCCCCAACGTGAACACTTCATGCATAATATGGGCTCCTCAGTGTATTTTGCAACTTTCCTATAGCCTAGTCCTTGCACAAAAATTCTTTCCGGCGCCTCACCCTTTACCAAGGCAACAACCTGGCTTTGTTTGTCACCACGAACACTGTTCCTCTTCGCCCAGACAACTCTATCATTGTTGAGAAGAAGACAATCAGGATCCAAATAAGTTGGATACTTAAAAACTATGATCTTTGTGTGCACCATACCTTCTTCCGGAGTAACCATCACAATGTTCTCAAAGCCAACCGTCGTTAGGCGTTCCACGGCTTTTTCTGTCCCAACTGTTATGTAGGGCCGGTGAAGACCCTCCTTGAAGAGTGGTTCATATTCCATATACTCCTTAGCCAGACGAACCGTCCACTCCAGCTTTTGGTGGAAGTTCAGTTGGCATGTTGTAGGGAACAACAGCCTCTTCCTTCTGTTAAATTGCTTCTCTTGAGTCCTGCTGAGTAGGGTCTCATTTTTTGGTCTCTTTGTTATTTCATCCTCACCCTCGATCACTGCCTCGCTGTCTGTGAATATTTCGCCGTTTATTTCTGCTCATTACTACTTCAAACGGCCTGTTATTATCTTGTCTGCCCTCCTCACTATCACTTAAGGATACCGACTCAGCCATTTCCTCGACACTAAAAGGCACTGTCAACAATCGAGAACAAATTCACAATATCCAGCTGTAGCAGCCACGTGC